TGGCCAATTCAGCTAAAGCTGCCATGATTATTTGTACGGACATAGGCTTTTGTTTCTCTTGGGCAAATACCTATGAGTGGAATGGTGTGTGTTTAGCTTTTTAAGAGACTGTCAAACTGTTTTCCCAAAGTGGTTAGGTCACCGATATTCCCACCAGCGATGCATGAGAACGGACTTCCTCCTCGTCCTCAGCAAGTATGCTTTTAAAATTGTGTTTAATTGTGGTTTAACTCACGTTTCCCTACGGACTGCTGATGCGAAGTATCTTTTCAGGGTGTATTCACCACTTCCATAACTCCTTGGATGAAGTCTCAGCCCAAATTCTTGTGGGTTTTTATGTTCTCTGATTATCGAGTTGTGAGGGTTCTTTATATATTCTAGATGCAAGTCTTTAATCAAATGTACACCTGGGTGGCTCAGTCAGTTAAGCATCTGTGACTCTTGATTTCGGCTCAGGTCATGATCTCATGGTTCATGAGCTCAAGCCCTACATGGGACTCCAAACTGCCAGTGTGGAGCTTGCTTGGGATTCTCTCTCCCTCTCTCTTTGCCCCACCCCTGCTCATACATGCTCACTTTCTCTCTCTCTCAAAATAAATAAATAAGCATTTAAAAATGTATATACACTTATCCTATATTTTCTCTCAGTCTGGACCTTGTCTTTTCATTTTTTTATGAGAGCATTTAATTTTAATGTAGTCCAATTTGTCAATTTTTAAAATTATGATTATTTTTGCGGATCATGCTTTTGGTGTCTTATCTAAGAAATATTTGCTTCCCTGAAGGTCCAAAAGATTTTGTCTTATGTTTCCTTATAAAAGTTTTGTGGTTTTCAGTTTTACACTGAGATTTATGAGTCTTTTTTTTTTTAGGAGAGAGAAAGAGAGGGAGAGAGAGAGAATCTTAAGCAGGCTCCATGCTCAGCACAGAGCCAACACAGGACTTGATCCATGACCCTGGGGTAATGACCTGAAATGAAATCATGAGTCAGACACTTAACCAACTGAGCCACATAGGCGCTCTGATTTGTGAGTCATTTTGAGTTAATTTTTGTATATGATACAAGATATGGATTGAAGTACTTTTTTTTGTCAAAAGATTCCTTTCTCCACTTTTCTGTCCCTGTGTCAAAAATCAATTGTCTCCATACACACTGGTCATTTCTAGACTCTATTCTATCACATTCATCTATTTGTCTAACTTTATGCCAATATCATGCTACCTTGGTAATTACAGCTTTAAAATAAGTCCTGGGGTGCCTGGGGGGCTCAGTCGGTGAAGCTTCAGGCTTCGGCTCAGGTCATGATCTCAAAGTTCTTGAGTTCGAGCCCCACGTCCGGCTCTATGCTGACAGCTCAGAGCCTGGAGCCTGCTTCGGATTCTGTGTCTCCCTCTCTCTCTGCCCTCTTCCCTGCTCACGCTATGTCTCTCTCAAAAATAAAATAAAAAACTTAAAAAAAGTATAATGAGTCTTGAAATCAGGGAGTGGTGGTCTTTTGGCTTTGTTCGTTTTCTAATTTTTTTAAATGTTTTATTTTTTTAATTTTTAAAAATGTTTTATTTATTTCTGAGAGAGAAAGACAGTGTGAGCAGGGGGAGAGGGTCAGAGAGAGAGGGAGACACAGAATCTGAAGCAGGCTCCAGGCTCTGAGCTGTCAGCACAGAGCCTGATGTGAGGCCCAAAACCACGAACCATGAGATCATAACCTGAGCCGAAGTCGGATGCTTAACGGACTGAGCCCCCCAGATGCCCCTGACTTTGTTTTCAAAGCTCTTCCTGCAATTCCGGATCCTTTGTATTTCCCTGTGAAGCTTATAATCAGCTTGTCAGTTTCTACAAAAGTAAAAACTTTCTGGGACATTGATGGGGATTGCGGTGAATCTGTAGATTCCTGTGGGGAGACAGGACGTCTGAACAACACTGAGTCTTCCCATTTGTGGCTGTGGAATATCTGTTCTATTGTCTTGGCCTTCACATTCCATCAGTAATGCTATTTCCACTGTACTGTCTTACACAGTTTCTGTCCCGTTCATTCCTCTGTAGTTCATAGTTTGTGATGCTAATATAAATATTCTTCTTTTATTTTTAAGTTTATTATTACTTTCTAATCTTTTTTTTTTTTTTTGAGAGAGAGAGAGAGAGAGCATGAGCAGGGGAGGGGCAGAGATACAGGGAGACACAGAATCCGAAGCAGGCTCCAAGGCTCCGAGGTGTCAGCACAGAGCCTGACATTGGGCTCGAACCTACAAGTGGTGAGATCATGACCTGAGCCCAAGCCAGTTGCTCAACCGACTGAGCCACCCAGGAGCCCTTACATAGACAATCTTATTGACTGTAAATATAGTTTTACTTCTTTCTTTCCAATCTGGACGCCTTTTATTTCTGTTCCTCATCTAACGCCTCTGCTCAGGACTCCCAGTGCCGTATTGAATGGGAGTGGTGAGAGGCGTCCTTACCTACTCCTGATCTAGGGGGGCGGTGCTCATCGTTTCTCCAGTAAGTGGGATGTGAGCTGAAGGTCTTTGATAGATGCTCTTTGTCAAGTTGAGGAAACTCCCTTTCTGTTCTTAGTTTCATAGCTATGGTTTAAAAAAATTTTTTTAATGTTTATTTAATTTTGAAAGAGACAGAGCAGGAGTGGGGGAGGGGCAGAGAGAGGGAGACATGGAATCGGAAACAAGCTCCAGGCTCTGAGCTGTCAGCACAGGGTCGGACACGGGGCTCGAACCCACAGACCACGACATCATGACCTGAGCCGAAGTCGGCCACTTAACAGACTGAGCCCCCCAGGCGCCCCACTTTCATAGCTATGATTTTTTAAATTCCATTTCAAAGTGGGAAAACGGAAACCCTGAAAAGGTAGGCAAACTTTCCTGCTGTTTCCTAGGGTTGCAGGTATCGAATATAGAGTATGGAGAAATAGTGGCTAGTGTGGATTCTGGACTCAGGCTGTGCAGGTTCAAATCCGAGCCTTGCGACTCCCCAGCTATGGGATTTGGGGGTACATTACTGTGTTTCAATTTCCTCCTCTGTGGAAGGGGGTAATAATAGTATCTATCTCATTGGGTTGCTATGAAGATTAAAATGTATAAATATTTATAATGTACTCAGAACAGTGCCTGGCTAATAATAAGTGCTGTATAATTTTTATCCCCCATGTTCATTTAGAATCATAGAAGACAACTGGATTCTGCTTCAGGAGGAAAGCCAACTATGCTGAGTTCCACATACAGGTTTTCTTCCATCTTTTCCCCAATCCTTGATGCCCTTGGTAGCATCAGTCAGAGTTTTAGGCTGGTGGAATTATCATCCAGCTCTACCTCCAACCCAAGGCAGGAATTCCCTCTTCATGCCCACCCCGGACCAGCGGCTGGCTGTCTTCTGAGCAAAAATTCTTCAGGTGAATTGTACATTCCGGAAGCCTGACTTTGTTAGTTCTGGGAAAGGCTGATGAGGTCTATGCATGAGGTGACAGTGACGTTCCCTGTTCGCTGCAAGCGTTGTGAGGTCTTCCGCTGCTGTTGCCCTGACACCTGACATGGGCCTTCGTATCTTCTAGAATAGTCAGAAATAAAGTCCGCAGAATGGGTCACCTGGGAACTGGTGACCTCTCTTTCTTGCCACCAGGGAACCCAATTAGGGTCAAGGATAAGCCTGGCTTCTCTGCCTTAGCAACTGCCCGGATCCTGAATAACATCTGGGCCCTTTTTATTTAGCCCCATGGTGGGTGTGAGGCTAACTAGGCTCAATTATTTCACGACATATTTGAAAAAAAAAAATTAGGAAGGACCCAAAGCATCTGATTCCCAGAAATTCTGAGCTGAAAGATCTCTTGGTTTCAGATCTAGCGTGAGTGTCTTCGAGCCAAGCAGCAGCCGGCTCTGTTCACTTGAACAGTATGGTTCCATATAAACAAGCAAGAAATGCGTTTGTGACAAATAGAGTCAAAATTTCCATCTAAATTTTAGCTAATAGGAATAGAAGGACTGATTCAGACTTTCGGGTTTTAAATCTCCTGAGCCTGGCAGCTGTGTTTTCATTCTTTCTACTAAATGCTGTTGTTTAGGATTTAGGGAATTATGGAAAAACAAAAAACAACAAACAACAAACAAAACAAAAACAAAAAAACTCAAAAAACCAAAAAACTCTTGCAGCACCAGATCTCAAATGGGGCAGGATTTGCAACCCACCAGTATTAACTGATGCATCTGCCCCCCCCCCTTTTTTTTCTGCTGATGGTGGGGGAAAAGGGCTCTTGAAAATGATCCAGCTCCAAGAGCTTGAGCAAGGGGGTCTCAGGCTTTCTTCCTTTCAGGACTATCTTTTTCTTAAAATAAATTTGAGAATGAAGTGCAAAAATATGCCCATGTCACATTTACCGCGACAGATAAGTGTGCAACGTCCAGGCATATTTATACAGCCAGCGATAGCTCTGCAAAACCATCAACCGCTCACAGCCCCACCATCTTCCAAAATACGATGCGATGCATTTAAAAAATCTGCAGCTTTGCAAGGAGGCGCCCACATAGTCCCTTCTTTGAATTTGCATATTTGTGTAGCGAACACACAACGCTGACAGAGGACCTGAGCTAGTTTTAAACGCTCAAAAAGTTCCTCCTGAGTTGCTTGGCTTAAATGCACACTCAAAACTTTATTAAAAACATTTTTTCAAAAATAAGCAAGACATCAGTAAGGCTCGGTGGAGGGGTGGAAAATGGATCGTATATCTTTAACCCGCAGAAGCTAAAAGGCTTTTTTTTTTGTTGTTAGCTAACAATGGAAACTTTTTTTTTAAGTGTTTCCCTCCCTAGGTCTTGCCAAGCAATAGAAAAAAAAAAAAAAAAGAAGAAAAGAAAAACTTGTTCCGCTGAGTTCAACCCCAGACGGGCTCACAACTTCCTTCCTGCTTTCCTCCCACAAGCCCCCGCCTTTCTCCCTCCTCCCCCTCCCCCCCCCCCCCTCCCCCCCCCAACTTTTTTTTTTTTTTTTTTAATCGCACATTGAACAAACACTGAAGTAGCCTAGCAAACACTGACAGGGGTAGTGTCTGCACGGCCGAGAAGGGCGTGCGGGGCCGGCCCGCGGAGCCTCCGCGCCATCGCCGGCCCTTGCTCGGAGCTCTCCCTCCGCTGGATCGCGCTCCCCTTTTTCGTCTTCCGTAGCTAGTAGCCGAGGAGGTCGATCGCCAGCTTTTTCACTTTTCAAGCCATCTTGTTCCTCCGAGGTCTGCGCCCCTGGGCCATACAGTCTGCACGGGCCGGGCGGCTGAGGAATTGCAGGTAAGTTTGGCGGCTTTTTCCGGGCTCTCGCCTCCGAGCCCTCTCTCCCCCCTTCCCTGCCCCGGAGCGAGCCCGGGCGTTCCGGGTTCTGGAAGAGCGCAGAGGTGGGCTGCGGGGCAGCGGACGGGGTGCGGGCGGGAGGGCGGCGGGAGCCGGGGCGCGGGCAGGGGAGGGACGGGGTCGGGCCGCGTCTCCCGCTCGCCTTCCGGGCCGCTGGTCCCCGCTGCCCTCCCCGGGCGCTCGAAGCGTCCCCGGCCCCGGGGCGGCCGGGCCGCTGGGCCGGCGCCGGGCGCGGCTGCCCAGGATGCGGATGAGCCCGGCCCTCGGCCGCGCCGCCCGGCGTGGGGAGCGGAGCCGGGTCTCCCTCCCCAGCTGCGGGCGCGCGGGCCCCGGGGTTCCTCCGAGTGGGCGCAGAGGCAGCCGCGTCCTCCGGTACAGGGCGTGCGGAGGGCTGCACACACACACACACACACACACACACACACACGCACACACACACACCCCTCCGCAGGGGGCAACGAGTAGTGGTTCCGGTACAGGGGACCGGCAGCGCCTCGGCCCGGGCGCGCGCAGGCGCGCCCACACTCACAAAACACTTGTTTGGGGGGCAGGCGACAAGGCCAGTGCAGAAAAATGCCTCGGCGGCGGCCCCGCCACGCTCCCGGGCCTTCGTAGGCCGAGGGAGCCGGCCCTGAGCGCGGGGTCGGGGAGGCAAACCTCCGGCGCGCAGGCGTCCTCCCCCAAGCCCCCGAGCCCCGCGCAGGTAGCGGCTGGGGGACGCAGGTTCCCTCCCGAGCGGGTCCCCGAGGCCGGAGAGGGTGGAGCGGCAGATGCTGCAGCCCAGGGGCGGGCTTCCCTTCTACCCGACCAGAGCAGCGTTTGCTCAGGCCGAGGAGACCCGCGGACCGGGTGTCCGCACCCTCGGGGAGATCCTAGCCAGCCGCGCCCCGCGCGCAGCTCACTTGGGGACCGAGTGGCCGTCCGTCCGCGTGGCTCCGGGGAGGGATCTTAGAAGGTGGAATTTGTAGGGACCTCCGAGCGCATCACAGCCTGGGTGGGAGCGCACTCGGGAGACCCCCCGCCCCCCCTGCGGCCGGGCTCGCGTCTGCACTCCCGGGAGGTGACACGTCCGGGGGCACCCCATCCCTGACAGACTGGGCTTCCGCGGTGGCGATCGCGGCTCCCTGCCCCCCCTTCCTCCACGTCCCGTCCCCGCCCTCCGGGGTCCTGACTCTCTCCTCCTTGTGTCTCCACAGCGGCGCGGTCGTTTATGGAGCTCTGGGCGGGGGCCGAGCCCTCGGACTTGCCCCCCGCCCGAGGCCCGGGCCATGCCCCCGCCTGCGCGCGCGGAGCCGCGGCCGCCGGGCCTGAGGGGCTGAGCCGGGAGGCGCGCGAGGAGGAGGCGCCGGCGGCCGAGCCCGGCCCGGAGCGGCGGCGGCGGGCAGCGCGGCGGACCCAGTACTATGGCTGTGTACTGCTACGCGCTCAACAGCCTGGTGATCATGAATAGCGCCGACCAGGCGAAGAGCGGCGGCCCCCGGCCCGGCGGCAGCGAGACGTCCCCGCCGCCGGACAGGGCGGCGCTGAGCCCCGGCAGCGTCTTCAGCCCCGGGAGAGGCGCCTCCTTCCTCTTCCCGCCCGCCGAGCCCTTGTCGCCCGAGGAGCCCGGGAGCCCGGGGGGCTGGCGGAGCGGCCCGCGCAGGCTGAGCGGCGGCGGCGGCGTGGGCAGCCCGAGTTGGGCGGGTCGCCCGAGAGGGGACGGACAGCAGGTGTCGAGCGCCGGCTCCCTCTCCCCTCCGCGGCCCGAGGAGGCCAAGAGGAAGCCGCGAATCCTGCAACGCGAGTTGCAGAACGTGCAGGTGAACCAGAAAGTGGGCCTGTTCGAGGCGCACATCCAGGCGCAGAGCTCCGCCGGCCAGGCGCCCCGCAGCCCGCGTCTGGACAGGGCTCGCTCGCCCTCCCCGTGCCCCTTCCGCAGCAGCAGCCAGCCCCCCGGAAGGGTCCTGGCTCAGAGCGAGGAACGGAGGACAAAGTCGTTGGGGGAGCAATGTCCAGAGACTGCGGAGGCCGGCTCTGGCAGGAGAGGAAGGGCGCCAGGCCAGTGCCTCTCCGAGGGCGAGGAGGGGGTGGCGCCCTTCCCGGGCCCGGCCGCCCCACAACGATCAGGGGCTCAGGGCCCAGCGGCTTCTGCAACGGAGAAGGGGATCCCTGCCAGACCCCACTGTGGCTCCCCCAGACCTGTGGAAACTGACAAGAGGGTCTCTCCGCTTTGGGGAACGCGCAGCTGCCCAGCTCCCCCGACGGGGCTGCTCCGCGTGAACTTAGTGACGTCCACGGAGGTGGCAGCGAGAGCCGCAGCCAGTGGGCCACACCAGCCACGCGACCCTGGCATCCTGGAGCCTGCTGAGAGGGCCCGCGAGCGTGGGGGCGTGCGCTCCGGGGAGTCCCTGGCTCATTGTGTAGGGCAGCCTCTGAGCGGAGAGAAGAGCCCAGCCCCAGAGAGGGGGACGCCCTGCAGCGGAGAGCCCCCTGGGAAGGTGAGGGAAAAAGACCCGGCCTGTGGGGTGCCGGGCTCCAGGGCGCCTGAAGCCAGAAGGCCGGAGGACAGGACTGTGAATGCGCAAAGCTCGGAGCATTCTGAGCCACGGAGCCGGGTCAGGCCATCTCCAGAACTGGGCTCAGTAGGCCCGGACGCGCCCCAGTGTGGGGCCTCCGTGGCAGAGGAGCCTCTTAGGCGCTCCGGCGGCGTGGATGAAGGATCTTCGAAGCTGGGCCTGCTTGGGGCCAGCCTTTCGGCCCAGACAGCTCTGCTGGAGGTGGAGGCAGGAATTCCCTCTGGCTCAGTGCTGGAGCCTTTCCCCTGCTGGGCAGCCGCAAAAGCTCTAAGGGAACCCCAGTGTCTTCCTGGAGACAGGGCCGGGGTGCAGCCCGGGAACTCCAGGGCTTGGCAGGGCCCCACGGAGGAAGCCCGTCTGGCCTGGACGTGTGGCACAGGTGTACAGCCAGAGGGGACTTGGGGAAGCCACCAGCCCGCCGGAGACGCCCCCTCCAGCCCAGAGCTGCTCTCCCCCGATCAGAAGGACAAGCCTCCCCTGAGAGAGGCCTGCAGCCCCAGCAATATTCCTGCAGTCATCATTACAGACATGGGTGCCCAGGAGGACCAGACCTCGGAGGAGGCTCAGGGAAGTCCCCGGGGCAGCTTGCCCCTGAGGAAACTGTCCTCTTCATCTGCCTCCTCCACTGGCTTCTCCTCTTCCTATGAAGACTCGGAGGAGGACATCTCCAGTGACCCTGAGCGCTGCCTGGACCCCAACTCCGCCTTCCTGCACACGCTGGACCAGCAGAAACCCAGAGTGGTGAGTCTTGTTCTGAGATTTTCCTGGAACTGGTTTTCACGCCCCTGTTTTTCTTCCTTTCTACTGAGTCTCGGAGACTCTGATCAGGGCCCCAGGGCAGTCACAACTTACAGTTCTCTGCAGGTGTGTTTGCTTGGGGGTGGGGGGGAGCGCCTAGGCACTGACTGTGCACTTTGTAGCTTGGACAGTGAATCAAGTCACTTCGATTGCTATTTCCGCATACATCTTAACAAACAGTTTTTTTAAAGGTACCTCTCTGGTGGGTCACGACTCACTTCTCGGGGAGATAATATTCATGGGTATTACCCAAAACTTCCTGATTAATCCCCAAAGATCCTAAACAGAGCTGCTGACTAGCTTTTGTCTGATCGGGAGAAACACTTCATTCTTCCATCCATTTAGGCGGAGGGGAAACTGACCCGGGCATGGAATTAACCCAGCTTCTAGGGACAGGCCAAGGAAAACGAGTTGATGTGATTCTCTGAGGGGGCCCCGAGAGCTGTGGGTGTGCTCGGGGACTGGTCTGTTGGGGCCAGAGCCGCCTCACCTCAGGTAGTAGAGTCAGGACATTGCGATATTTGTGGGACCGGTGTCACTAAGGTATGGTTTTGGTGTACGAATTAAGATAGAAACCATGCTTTGAGCCAAGCAGACAGTTTTTTGCATAACAGAATGTTATATTCGGTTGAACTGCCCAAGATGGGCACTGGGTGTAACCCCTAGGGTATGTAACTCCTAATAGATGTCCTGGTTGGCTGGTATAGGCGCATTTCAGATACGTTTTCAAGTATGTTTGTCTTGATTCATCTACTGACCTCATGTGCTAGCTGCGGTGGTTGATAGGAGTTTGATTTCTAGTACATAGTGAATCTCAGGCCCAGGCTGTTTTCCCTCTTAGGAGGATCAGAGCATCTCGCGGAAGACGTTAAGAGTCGACGCTAGCACTTCTGAAAAGGTCTGGACTTTCTCTCAGCTTCTCCAGAGTGTGGGGAATTTCCTAGGTCTTGCACTACCCCTGGGGTGGGGAAGTCTGTGTTTTGTTGTAACAGGTAGCCTTCCGATTTCATCTTGAATAGCACACACTGTTTGTGGAACCGCACTTGACTTCAGCCGCAGCCCCTGAGAACTGTGGACGTCCACTCTGCATCCTTCCTAAGGCAGGGTGGACCTCCGCGCGCTTGCCTCTGTGACTCCCCCTTGAGAAATCACAGTCTGAAATGCCCGAAACCGGGCGTTTCTTTTGTTGAAGCTCTGCTTTTCTGCTGATGAGGTGGGGCCAAATGTCTCTGCAGTGTCTGGCCCCCATCAGCCGGGCGCTTTGTGGCGGGATGGGGCTGCCGGCACGGGGCACACGCATACCGTCTGGGAGGAGACGGACAGGCGGGTGAAGGGACTGCTTCTCTGCAGGCGCGGCTCATGTTCCTCTGCCTTCCTGCCCGCAGTCGCAGGCCTGCGGAGGAGGTGACCCTCAGCTTCCCGTCTTAGCATTTGCTTTTTAAACCCACCCCCGTCACGGCCAAAGTCCCTTTAACGTCTCCTGCAGCCTTGCACTTGGCCTTTCTCGTGATGGATTAGCAGCTCCTCTTGGCTGTTTTTCAAATCAGCCTCTGCATCCCAGTGTCTGCAGAGGGCTCTGGTCTGGAGGCAAGTTCAAGGGGAGATGGGTAACGCCAGGTGCTGAGTCTTTCTCTCCGTTTGCCGGCGGAGGGAGCGGTCGGTGGAGGGGCGTTCTGTGAGCTCACAGGTCTGGAGGTGGAAGTGAGGCCTGCGGGGTGGCCAGCCTGCCTGCCACCTCTGCAAGGCTTTCAGACACCCACAGAGGAGAGCCAGGGAAAAGTCCCCTGCCGGCTTCACGCTGAGTCACGTGAGGCCGACGTGGAGGGCGAGCGTGGGGGAGGGGTGGGTAACCAACTGGAAATTATGGGATCCTAGGGACTTTTCAGCTTCTGGTTGAGTGCTTGCGCCGTGAGCTAATTTTTCTTTTTCTTGTACAGTTTGTTACCACTGAGCCTGTCCTGGGACCTCAAAACATCTGCTCCTGGGGTCAAATATCGCTTGATTCCCTGAGGTGGATGTTTTGTCTGCAGGAGGCCAGACATCTTGGTCCACTGGGCCTCTGGCTGGGCCCTCAGGGCTTTGCAGATAAACCTGGGCCTCCATCCTCTGCAGCGCTGAGAACCGGCCCCTTCTCCTCTCCCTGCTCTGCTGCTCCATCTGTAGGGCAGCCCTGCATGGCCGGTGCGCACACCCTCACATGCGGACACTCACACCTGCGCACATTCACCTGTGTGTGCGCACACACGCACACCTGCTCACACTCACACATGATCACCCTTGCCTTCACGTGTTCATGCTCACACTTACACGCTGACACTCATGTGCTCACGATCACACATGCCCACACTCACATACCCCACACACCTTCACACACATGTTCACCCTTGGCCTCACATGTTCATGCTCACATTTACACACATGCAAACTCACATGCTCACACCCACACGTGCTTACATTCATACCCGTGCGTCTCACATTTGCACCCACATGCATTCACCCTCACAGTGCTCACCGATACCCTCACACACACACACCCTCACACACACACATACACACTGGTTTGAAATGGCTAATGAGCCTGGCCCTCAGACCCACGCTGAGGATATTTTATGCTGCTCTGCGTTTCCACCGAGTTAAGCCTTTTATGCCTTGGTTTATGCCTCGTGCAGTGGGTTCCTTACTTGTGCGGAAGGGTGGCTGTGTGACACTGTGTGGCCGGGAGCCACGGCCCAGGCGAGCCTGAAGCTGGTGGCTTTGTTAGCTCTTGCTGGGTCCCCCCCCAACCCCCTGGGCCAGTGCACCGAAATCCACGAGCCCTCCCTGTGGTTCAGAACAAATTGAAGAGCAGGTTGTTTGGGAACGCGCTAGAAAGCTGCTTGGCCATTCGGGTTACGCACACCGGCAGTGCGTGCAGACATCTTCGGAAACGTGCAAAGCGCCTCAGGCCTTCGCTGCAACTTGGGCTTTGCTTCTGAGGAGCCTGACGGCTGCCTGCCCCTTCCCTAGTAGGTTCTAAGGGTTTGTTTGCATCTGCCTGTCTGTTCATGAAAGATCAGAGGCTGGAAATTTGCTCAGAAGGAATTGTATCGCGCGCCTTGGGTTCCCAGTGTTTCCATCCAGGCACGTTCACACTTCCTGTTCCCTGCGGTCTGAAGGAAAGCGAATTCTAGGGAAGCGAATTGGACCATTGAGGATGGTGTCCTTGTATTTTGTGCTGTGAGAGGACTTCACAGCTCCTTGCTTTCCTGTCATTCCATTAAGAGCATCTGGGCCATTGAAACGCCAGGCTTAAAGGATATGTTAAAATATGCATGCGTCTGACTTTTAACAGTGGATTTTATTGATTTATTCCAAAATTGTATCATCAATTACATGTGCAGAAGACACAACAAAGCACTAGCCGGCTCACTGACCCAGGGGCACATTAAGTGCCTTACGAAATCCTTACCCTCCTGTCCTTACTGGTTTTTAAGGGCCAATGGAATTTCTTTCTCTTTTTCCTTTTTTTTTTTTTTTTTTTGTTTAATATTGAGTAGTTATTTTTGTTGTGTTTTTTGTTTTTTTTTAGTGAAAAATTAACTCAGACATGCGGTAAAAATTCAAACAGTTTAAAATGGTTTTATGTGGTTTTGAAAAGTGTAAAACCTTTATTTTCGGCAAACCAAATTAAAATTCAAAAGCGTTTTGAGGGTTACTGAGAAAACAGTCCATGCAATGGCAAGTACTTTTAAATAGAAAATTCTTTTCTGGATGAGACTACTGAAGACTCCGATCTGTGGGGTTCTGGGTCTAGGCTGCACATGCCGTTTCCTTGAGGTGGGGCACCCTTTTTTCCTCTCGGGGCTGTGGGGAGGATCTTTGTGACACAGCCTCAGCACCTTTCCGACCCTGGAGGACCCCGAGTCATTTATATAAGGCTCCAGGTAGTGCTCTGATCTGCTGAGGGATGAGGAAACAGACTCAGAGAGAGAGAGAGGGGTCCAAGGTCGACCTCCCTGGAGATGATCTCCGTCTAGATCTGCCTCTGTGACTCTATGATTCTAGGCTTTTGAATTCAAACCTGGCGTGCGTCAAGAATGCATCAGCGTGTCTGAAAGTGTGGCCCTCAACTGCTGGGTCCAAAACCGGGCACGTTGAACTTTGTGCTTTTATTAAAGACCCATCAATTGATCTGCCTCTCTCCCTCTCTTTACCGGAAGACTGGTTCTTTGTAATGTCGCAGTGAAATAGCATCATGTGTCATCCGTATCATACCCAAGACTCTCCTTAATAATTAGACTGGTATTGGAGGCGCTTCCCATAGGAGGCCAGAATGTGAACCTGAAAAGTAAAAGACACATTCTGTTATCTGAGGGCTTGGACTCCCTCGGAGATTGAAGTTTGGAGACTGACTGCACAGAGCCAGAACATGACTTCTGACGATTATTTTATTGAAGGTGAGGTATGGAGAAAGAGAGGGACTGATGGCTAGGCATGGCAGAAACACAGCTCAAGATTTACCTGGCCTTCGGGTTTCGCAAGAAAACTGTATTAAACCAGTCGGTTGCTGCTTTGAGAGGAAGGCATTCCAGGTGTCCCACAAATCATTTCCAGAACTATTGTGTACTTCCTGAAGTCACTTTTCTGATTTTGTGGGCACCTACCTGCCAAATGAGTTCCGTGTAGCTTATGTATACCGCTAGGGGTGCTGATGACATTGTCAAGGCTTATTTTATTTTGTCACATTTCGACTCACTTAGCTGAAGGTGGAATGTGAAAGTATTTCATGGGAAGAATTTTATATCTTGGTAGAAAAAACTTCGGGTCATCGGCAGGTGATTCTGGATTAACTCTGTACGTCCTAGTTCGTGTTGTGCTCACACTGCTGGGGCGGGGGGGGGTGGTGCGGAGTGGATGGTTTTGATAGGCAATAAGGTTCTGCACACCGGGCCCTCAAATCCATG